GCCCCCCCCCCAGGGGCCCGCTGGCCCGCCCCCGCCCACCTCCACGTGCCGCTGCAGGCTACTCGGGGCTGCCCAGGGCTGGAGGCCACCTGGACACGCTCATCTGAATGGCCCAGTGCCTCAGCACCTCACAGGCCGACCCCCAGGGGACCTGGGGCTGCAGCTGTCCTCATCTCCTGGTCCCTGAAGGCAGCGGCCATCGCGTAGGCCGTCAATAGCCCCCGTCCCGCTTAGGGCCCAGCCTCCCGACACCGAGCGGTGCTGCCGTCGGCCTCAGGCTCTTGGTTCTGCCCTCCTGAGCCCCCCAGCCAGCCCCGTCTCTAAGCCCCTCCCCACACTCACAGGGCGCCCGAACACCACGGCTCCGGGGTGCAGGTAGACTTCCACCACGTCGCTCTCGGGCACCACCTGGACGCGCTGCACCTCGCCCTTGGCCAGCATCTCGTTGACAAAGTCGGCCCACGAGATGCTGCCCCCGCTGGTGCTGAGTGAGTTCAGCCGGCTCATGACCACAGCAATGACGACCAGGGTGCGCAGTACATCTGGTCCTCCCGCTCCTTGCGCCTCCTCTCCTCTGAGCCGCGGGGAGCAAGGGGAGAAGAAGACGTGTGAGACCCGGACCTGCTCCTGCCACACCTGCTGCAGTGCGGGGCCCTTCCCGGGGTTCCTCTCCTGCACTCCTGATGCAGCACGGGGCTCTTCCCGGGGTTCCTCTCCTGCACCCCTGCTGCAGTGCGGGGCCCTTCCCGGGGTCCCTCTCCTGCCACCCCTGCTGCAGCGCAGGGCCCTCCCCGGGGTCCTGAGCTCCTGCCGGATTTCAGCCGAGCTATGAGAGACAAGTGCCAACCACATGCTGTCCGAGGGCACTGGGCCACCCCGGGGAAGAAAGGTGGCTCCCACCTCAGCCTCAGACGGAACCTTTCGAAGTGAAAATGTCGCAGGACCAGGATGCTATCACAGCTCCGCAGCAGCCCCAGGCTCTGCAAAGAGCGTGCCGGTGGGAGCTACACTAAGCCCTTCCTACCTGGCCCACACGGCTGACAACCCAGAGGCCAAGCCCCTCGGCATGGCCCGCTCCTCAGCCTGCAGACCGGCCTCCTGCTTCTGCCCAAGCCGCCACATACCCTGAACTGCTTTCCTCAAAGGGTGCACGCACATGTGAGAGAAGGGGGAAGAGGGAGGGAGGGGGACCCCCGTGGGCATGGTCACACCACAACTCTTCTTCCTGCATTTCTCTAGTCTGACGGGATTTGGGGCACACGTGTAAATGCACCAGGGCTGGGATTCGAACTCTGGTCAGCCATGTGGGCTCTGGCTCTCTACACACGGCCCAGAAGTACTGCACTAAGGGGTTGGCCCTGAACTTTTTATTTATCGGAATCAGTAACATTTATTAAATTTGTTTTGAAACTCACACTTAGGGGCTGGCTGTGGTACAGTGGATGAGACGGCTAGACCCCATGTGGCCAACTGCCGATTCGGGTTCTGGACCTGGTGCCAGGAGGAGTGTCCAGGACACATGTGCATTTGGGCCCAGAATTGAAAAGGAGAGATGGGAGAGGGACCGAGGCAAAGACACCCCAGGGAGGTGCCTTCTCACCTCCAAGCCCTCTGCCCCTCTCCAGTAAACTAAAAATAATAAACAATCTTTAAAAATTACAACCTTTGGGTGCCGGCAGGTGGCATGGTGGTTAAGGTGCTGGACTCCCACATGGCTGACCGTGGTTCGAGTCCCAGACCTGGCGGCTGGCTTTCTCACTTTCCCTCTCTCTCTCTTACTCTATCCCTCTCTGGTCAAACTAAAATAAATAAATAAAGTTAAAAATATATGTATTTAAAAAAAAATCACATGGGGCCGGCAGCTGGCATAGTGGTTAAGGGTGCTGGACTCCCACACAGCTAACCACAGTTCAAGTCCTAGACCTGGCGGCTTGCCTTCTCACGTTCCCTCTCTCTCTTTCTCTCACTCTGTCCCTCTCTGGTCAAACTAAAAGGAAGGAAGGAAGGAAGGAAAATAAAAATAATTCTTAAAAAGAGGGGAACAGCAGGTGGTGTGGTGGTTAAGGTGCTGGACACTCCCACATGGCTGAACATGGTTCGAGTCTGGGCCCTGGTGGTTTGCTTTCTCACTTTCCCTGTGTGTGTGTGTGTGTGTGTAAATAAAAATAAATGAATGAATAAATAAAGTTAAATTAAAATATAATTCTTAAAAAGAAAAATCACAACATCTGTAAAAAGCACATTTTGGGGCTGGCAGGTGGTGTGGTGGTTAAGGGCGCTAGACTCATATGGTCGACTGAAGTTCGAGTCCCAGACCTGGTGACTTGCTTTCTTATTTTTTTCTCTATGTCCCTCTCTGGTCAAATTAAAATAAATAAATCGTAACAGAAAGTCAGATGAGATCATTCTAAACCAGGGCACATCTTAAAGTGCCGCGAAACGCGGCGTCCAGGCTATAAACATAGGCTGTGCGCTACTTGGTCCTAGAACCTGCAGAGATCCACTCCTCACCAGAGCGAGGAGATAAGTCCCCAAAGCACATGACTCAGTCATTTAGTGCCCTACTTCAGACACACACGGCACAGGGGCCAGCAAGCGGTGCGGTGGTGAAGGTGCTACACCCCACATGTTGGCTACAGTTCGAGTCTTGGACCTGGCAGCTTGAAATGCACACAGGGCATGTGAGCGTGCATGCCCCGAACCCTGAGAAAGGAGGAGGGGCTGTAGTGTGGCCACCCCCTGGGGCGATTTCTCACTTTTCTTCTTTCTCTGTCTCTCTGGCAAGCGCATGTGCCCTACAGCAAAAATCTCTCAAAAAGAAAAAAACAGGTATACAAGATAGACACAGCACAGTGGGCCAGCAAGTGGCACGGCGGTTAGAGTGCTGGACCCCATCTGGCCAATCCTGTGGTTCTAGTCCCGGACCTGATGGCCTGGGACATGCCGGGCACACGGGTGTTCACGCCCCCAACCCCAACCGCCCTCTCTCTGGCAGGTGCATACATCCCAATAGTCATTCATAATTATTCATGGCAAAAAGAAACACACGCTGAGCACTGGGGCCCAACAGCGGCAAAGTGGACGGCGTGGCACTCTGCAAGGCGAGCCCGTGTCGGGAGAGGGCTCTGGGTTTGTCTGGTGACCGCCGTGAGTGGCCTGGCATGCGTGTGCCATGATCACGCCTCGCCAAGGCCGGGCTGGGTCGCGGTGTCAGGACTCTCGAGTGCACGCCACAACCCGTCTCCCAGAAGCAGCAGGTGTAAACGTACAAGCGATGCAGAGCAGCCGGCACGTCCCGGGGAGGCCGCTCCCGTGCCATGGACACGGAGGAGGGGCTCCCGGGACTGCAGGCAGGCAAGGGGCAGAGGGGCTGCCGAGTGCGGAGGAGCAGCTAGGGCAGCACTGCGGCCAGGCAGTGCCCAGGGGAGCCATGCAAGGGCAGCCCTCACGAGCTATGCCAGGCTGTGCACGCGCACATGTCCAAAACCCCGACGGGGAGAGAGGGAGGGAGAGGACAGCATGCAACCACACGGAGGGGCATACGTGCTGTCTCTCACTGTCTGCCACCTCTCTGTCTCTCTGTGGTGAGCACACTCGCCCTGCAGCACACACAAAAAGCTACAGTGAAGCTAAGCCTGAGCCGGGAACTGAGACGCTAAACGGACACTAACCTGAGGCCCCTGGGGTCTGGACCTATCCCAGGGGCCCTTCTACCCCAACCACTGGGGCAGGGCTCCAACTGGGGGCCCGCCCACCACCATGCCGTGGCTGGCCTCCCTTCTGAACTGCAAGAGGGAAAGTGACGCGTGAGGACGCGGCCCCGCAGGCGGGCTCTGCGCCGAGCCACTGCGCTCCAACACCCACACCTGACAGTTTTCCTGGATGTGACACGGGGCAGTCTTGTTTTTTGATTTTTTTTTTTCCTTTCTTTTATTTTTTTAAGAGGTTTTTGCTATAGGGCACGTGCGCTCGCCAGACAGACAGACAGAGACAGAGAGACAGAAAGCGAGAAATCACCCCCCAGGGGGGATGGTCACGCCACAATCCCTTCTCCTCCATTCTCCTCTCGGGATCTCGGGCCCGGCGTGTGAGTTTAAGCCACCGGCTCCGGGACGCGAACCGTGGTCGACTACGTGGGAGTCCAGCGACACAGTCATTACGCTAACTGCTGGTTCCCATAGATTTTTTTTTTTCATTTAACTCTTTTTATTTTAATTTTAGCAGACCGAGAAAGGACAGAGCGAGAGAGAGAGAAAGGGAGAGAGCAAGCTGCCAGGTCCAGGACTTGAACTGCGGTCACTCATGTGGGAGTCCAGCACCCTTAACCACCACACCACCTGCCGGCCCCAGCAAGTCTTCTTTTAGGGGGAGGGACAGAGATTTTTGCTATAGGGCGCATGCATTTGCCAAAAAGACAGAGAGAGACAGAGAGACAGAAAGTGAGAAATCACCCCCAAGGGGGGATGGCCACGCCCCAATCTGTCCTCTTCATTCTCCTCTCGGGATCTTGGGCACACATGCACACGCATCTGGCGTGAGTTTAAGCCACCGGGTCCAGAACTTGAACCGTGGTTGACTACGTGGGAGTCCAGCGACATGGCCATTATGCTAACTGCTGGTCCTGACAAAAGTCTTAACAGTTACCAAGAAACTGGTCACGAGACCCTAAGAACTTCACTGAGCTCTCAGGGCCACTGTCCCCTCCTGTCACGGAAAGGTGAGGACTGGGAAGTGGAGTGCCATCTGCCGTGCTCCGTCCAGGCTGCTTCACCCTGAGCCCTGGGCTCCCAGGAGCTGCTCTGATTAGGGTGGGCCAGGTGCACACACCCTCCACAGGGCCCCCCCACACCAGCACACACATCACGCCAGCGACTAGTATGAGCGGCTCCGGGCAGAGAGGGCCCGCCTCCCTGTGTAAACGAATCCTTGTAAACCCACGGAGCAGGCACTCAAGGCTCCTGTTAACCTGTTTCCTGGTGCGTGACATTCTGATCGCTCATAATGGGTTACCAATTTCCAATATTATTATTAGCTCAAAGCAAACACCCTTGTCCCTGAAACCAGCCCCACTCCCTTCAAACCATCTTTTTACTTCTCTTACCCTCACACGACCAAGTGAGCCCCAACCCCAGAGAGGACGGGCAGCGAATCCTCAGATCTTCCAAGTGAGACCATGTGGTCTGGGCAGGGGCAGGGGCTCATTTAGAGGACAACGCCTTGCTGTCCCACTCAGTGGGCCGTCCTGCCCTCTCCCCTTCTCCTCCGCAGCCGTCTCCCAGGCCCTCCTCCGCAGCCGTCTCCCAAGCCCACGGGCACAAGCAGTGCCGGCCAGGAGGACGTGAGTGGGTGCTGCCGAGGACTCCGACCCTGCCTGCCCACTCCCACCACTCGCAGTCAGTGTGGGGCAGAGCTGAGACCCACTCTCCAGGCTGAGGCAAAGAAAGCCTGACTGTCTCCAGGGACCCTAAGCACCGCGGGGCACACAGACACATGGGCGCCACCCCTGAAGAACAGGCACAAAGCACCCAACAGCCGTGCAGAGGGGGCTGAGGGCACAAGGGTAGGCGGGCAGTGTGACGGGCATGTGCACCTGCCTGACACAGCGTGAGCCATCACCGGGGTGGGCACCCGGTGCCGTCTACTGCCTCCCACTGGGATTCCGGGCACGTACGCACGCACACGTGCCTGGCGAGACTTTCAAGCGCTAGGCCTTGAACCCGAAATGCGAGGCTGGCAGGTGGGGTCCAGAGCCGTGGTCTCTATAATCTCAAGGTTGGTTTTGCCTTGCCTAGACAAGGTGTGGCCCCGCGGCTGCCATCGCTCACAGGCGCCAGGTACCTTCGTCGTCAGGCGTCCTCCCCTGGGAGCTGCCCTTGTCCTGGCTCTTGCGCTTCGTCTCGGAGGTGCTGAAATAGTAAGCTCCACCTGCGAGGGCAGGAAGGACACACGGTTTGTCCCTGCGGGCGGCAGACAGCATCAACAGAAACCATTTGAAACCGACTTCCTTACGAGTTACAAGTCTGGGTTGGCAGAGGCCGTAGCGGTTACACCACGGGACTCCCATGTAGCTGACGTGGTTAAGTCCTGGGCCCGGTGCTTGAGACGCATGCCAGTGGGGCTGGTAGTTGGCGTGGTGGTTGGGATGCTGGACTCCCACACGGCCAACCACACTTCTAGTCCCGGGACTGGTGGCTTGCTTTCTCACTTTCTCTCTCTTGTTCTAGCCCTCTCTGGTCAAATTAAAATAAATGAATAAATAAATAAAGCTAAATAAAATAATTCTTAGGGTGGGCAGGTGGCATAGCAATTAAGGACACTAGACTCCCACGTGGCCAACTGCACTTCAAGTCCTGGACCTGGAGGCTTGATTTCTTACTTTCCCTCTCCCTCTCTCGCTCACGCTGTCCCTCTCTGGTCAAATTAAAATTAATAAAGTGAAATAAAATAAAATAATTCTTTAAAAAAATAATAATTCTAAAAAAAGAAAAAAAAGAAAAAAAAAAAGCTCATACCAGGCTTGTGTGTGTGCATGTCCAAGATCCCAAAAGGAGAATGGAAGAGAGAGGACTGTGGCAGGGCCATGCCCTGGGGCGTACTTCTCACCTTCTGTCTGTCTCTGTCTCTCCAGAGAGTGTATGTGGTCTACAGCACTAGAAGTCTCTCTTAAGGAAATAAAACCTTACAAGTCTGAGATAAAGCATCTCTTCCTATCATTCTCAGCACAGTTCAAACTTTTTTCTATTTTTAAAGGATTATTTTATTTAACTTTATTTATTTGTTTACTTATTTTAATTCGACCAGAGAGAGAAAGAGAGGGAAAGTGAGAAGCCAGCTGCCAGATCCAGGACTCGAACTGTGGGAGCCCAGTGTTCTTATCCATCATGCCACCTGCCGGCCCCAATAAACTTTAACTTACAAAGTTAAATATCTTTGCTATTTACTTTACAGCTCCAAGGACCTTCCGTATGAACCTACAGCATGCTTCCAAATGTTTTATCGCCAATAAGCAACTACGTGTACCTTAGAGGACCAGCAGGTAGTGTGGCGGTCAAGGCACTGGATCCCACATGGCAGCTCCACAGCTGGTCTCAGACCCAGCAGCCTGAAAAACACACCAGGTGCATGCACATAAGTGCCCAAGATCCAAGAGACTGGAAGAGAAGGGATTCTCACATGACCATCACCCTGGGGGGTGATTTCTCATTTTGCCTCTCTCTGTCTCCTCTCATGAGCATGTCTGCCCTATTCCAAAAAGAAAAAAATAAAGAAAGAAAAGAAAAGAAAAAAAATGTAAATAATATGCTGTTAAATAAATCTGCTCAGGATCAGCAGATGGCATAATGGCTACGGCACTGGACTCCCACGTAGACAACTGCGGTTCAAGTCCCGGACCCAGTGGCTTAAACTCACACCAGGCGTGTGTGTGTGCCCAAGATCCAGAGAGGAGAATGGAGGAGAAGGGACTGCAGTGTGGCCATCCCCCCTAGGGGTTGATTTCTCGCTTTCTGTCTCTCTGTCTCTCTCTGTCTTTCTGGTGAGCACATGCGCCCTATAGCAAAAGTCTCTCAAAAAAAAAAAAAAAAAAAGATTTGCTCTGTTGGATAAACCACTGTGACATCTCTCAGTCTCTCCTGACTTTAGGTGAAAGACCCTGAAGGACTGACACCTGAATGCAAGGTAATACAACTTAGCTGCAGTTACAGGGACCGGCAGGTGGCACAATGGTTAAGGCTCTGGACTTCCACATGGCTGACTGCAGTTTGAGTTCCGGTGGCTTACTTTCTCACTTTCCCTCTCCCTCAGCTCAAATTAAAATCATTATAATAAATAAAATTAAATAATAATTTTTTGAGAGAGATGTTTTGCTATAGGGCACATGCACTCGCCGGAAAGATAGAAGAAGAAATTACGCTGCAATCCCTTCCCACTCTCCTCTTTGTATTTTGGGCATGAATGCACACAGGCCGGCCTGAGTTTCAGTGTGCTGGGTCCGGGCCTCGAACTGCAGTCAGTCATGAGGGAGTCTAGCAACTTAACCACTAAGCCACCTGCTGGCCCAAAAATAATTATTAAAAAGAACACTTAGTTATAAGTACGAATCTGAGAAGTTGTCATGCTGTCTGTAGGAGAATGACCCTACTGGTCTGTAAAGTTACTTGAAATAAACATAAACGGACGACCGGACCAGTGGCTGGGCCGGCTGTGACAGAATGAGCTGCCACTGTCACTGAGACAGCCGAGCACCTGCAGACGCAAGTTCCGTCTTCCTTAACGTCTAAGCAAATCCCTCTCCCAACCACGACCCACAGAGTCACACGCGAAACCATCTGATTGCCACTGAACACCTCGGGCACTGCGGAGGGCTGAAGCGCGAGCCTCCCTCTCACAGTCACCAGCACTTGAATGAGACGACGAAGGTCAGCAGGTAGCATGTTTAGTTACGACACTGGCCAACCAAGGCTCGGGTCCTAGACCTAGGGGCTTGCTTCTCACTTTTCTTCTCTCTCTCTGGTGAGCACACAGGTCCTATAGCAAACTCAAAAAAATAACAAAAATAATAATAAAATAGGGGCTGGCAAGTGGCATGGTAATTAAGGGTGCAGGACTCCAGCATGGCTGACCGCAGTTTGAGTCCCAGACCTGGTGGCTTGCTTTCTCACTTTCCCCCTCTCTCTCTCTGTCCCTCTCTGGTCAAATTTAAAATAAATAAATAAATAAATAAATAAATGATAAATAAAAAAATAAATGAACTTAAATAAACAAATAAGACCGTGACAGAAGAGCAAGCTGCTAGCTCACAACTTTCTCTGACTGTATGTGGCCACCAGGCTGTTTACGGTAAATTAAGAGCCAACATATTTCACCTTTTCCCTGTTGCAACTGGAAGAAGGGGCAGTAGAATGACAGGTGCCAATCTTTTTTTTTTTAAGAGAAACATTTTTGCTATAGTGTGCATGCGCTCGCCAGAGAGACAGAAAGTGAGAAACCATCCCTGGGGGCATGGTCACACGACAGTCCCTTCTCCTGTTCTCCTCTCAGGATTTTGGGCATGCACGTACACGCACCTGGTATGAGTTTTAAGCCAAAGGGTTCAGGACTCAAAGCACGGTTGACCACGTGGGAGTCCAGCAATGTACCATTTGCTATGGGGCCCATGCGCTCACCAGAGATAGAAAGAAAGAGAAAGTAAGAAATCTGCTCCCCACCAGGGGAGATGGTCATGGTGCAACCCTTCCGGAATTCTGGGCACACCTGTACACATACATGCATTTCTTTCAAGCTGCCAGGTCCAGGACTTGAACTGCCATATGGGGTCCAGCACCTTAACCTCCATGCCACTTGCTGGCCCCTAGTCAGAGGAAACTGAGGAGTGTCACAGCGACTCATTAAACAGAGCAGCTCTAACAGCAAATTACTGCAGGCTGTGTAGGGTGCCTTCTGGATGTAAAATGTTGGGAGTCACTTTGCAGATTCTGCTAAACATTCCTTAAAGAACTGGCTAAATAACATGAAAAAAAAATTTTTTTTATTTCTGCTGTAAAGCGTGTGCACTTGTTGGAGACAGGAAAAGTGAAAATCACGCTCCACGATGCAATTCCTTCTCTTCCATTTTCCTCTTGGGATTTTGGGCACACAAGCACATGCACCTGGCATAATTTCCAAGCCACTGGTTTCGGGATTTGAACTAAAAAATGTGGTCATGTGGACTCCAGCACCTTAATCTTCACACCTCTGCTGGTCCTGAAAAATCACTTTCTAAAATGTTTTAAGTTTTAATTTGGCAGAGTGTGTGCACACGCAGGTCAGAGAGCGAGAGAGGGCAGTCCTCGACGGGGTGCGGTCGCAATTCAATCCCTTCTCCGTTTCTTCATTCCCTAAGGATTTTGTATATGCACATACCCCTTTTGCTTTTCTTTTTATGTATTTATTTTATTTATTCATTCATTTTATTTTGACCAGAGAGAGAGAGAAAGGAAGTGAGAAAGCAAGTTCAGGTCGAGGACTTGAACCGTGGTCAACCATGTGGAGTGTCTAGGGCCTTATCTACCATACCATCTGCTGGTCTCATGCCCAGCATGTTCTTCAAGATACTGGGTTCAGGACTCAAACCATATAGTCAGTCATACGGGACATGGTTCCCTTACCTACTATGTCATGAGGCCAGCCTGAAAAACCTTTTTCCAACTGCCTATTTATTCTTCTTTTTTTTTTCAGAGAGGTTTTTGCTATAGGGTGCGTGCGCTTGCCAGAAACAGAGACAGACAGAAAGCGAGAAATCATCCCCTGGGGGGATGGCCACGCCATAATCCCTTCTCCTCCATTCGCCTCTCAGGATCCTGGGCACGCACGCACGCACGCATGCCCAGCGTGAGTTTAAGCCATCAGGTCCAGGACTCGAACCGTGGTTGACTACATGGGAGTCCAGCAACACAGCCATTATGCTAACTGCTGGTCCCCATATCAGAGTGTTTTTTAAACGATGAAACAGGTGGCATGGTGTTTAGGGTGCTGGATTCTCACATGGCTCACTGTAGTTTGAGTCTCAGACGCAGCAGTTTAAAAATCATGCCAGGCAAGCGTGCATGTGCTCCAGCTCCTGAGAGAATGGAGGAGAAGGGATTATAGAGTGCCTATCCCCTCCGGGGGGTGATTTCTCACTTTCCCTCTTTTTTCTCTCTCTGACAAGTGCATGTTGCATATGGCACACACATATACATAAAAAATAAAAAGATAAACCTAAACCTTTATTTATTTATTTTTCTGGAGAGGTTTTTTGCTACAGGGTGCATGCACTCACCAGAAAGACAGAGAGACAGAAGGCGAGAAATCACCCCCCAACCCCACAATCCCTTCTCCTCCCTCTCAGGATCTTGGGCACGCACAGACATGCACCCAGTGTGAGATTAAGCCACCGGGTCCGGGACTCGAACCACGGTCGACTACATGGTAGTCCAGCGACACAGCCATTACGCCGACTACTGGTCTTTCAGCCTTTAGACAAATTCCCTTTCTGTAAACCCTTTCAGGTTGTCTAGGACTGTGACTCTCACAGGACTCAGAATGAATGCAAGTACTCTTAGTGATTTTTCTCAGTGATATTCCTGTTAACGTCAAACCAGAAACATTACCCTAATATACTCACAAGCGTCACTCTGTCAGGTGATAAAACCAAAACTGTGGCCTTGTCACTAGTTTTTCAATAGATACACACCTAGAAGTTCCCAGAGTCGGACTGGATTCTGAACCAGATGTTTTAACAACAATCCACTGATCCCATCAAAGGTAGGGGTTAGCAGTCGTAATGGAAAGCTCTGAAAAAGATCAAACAAACAAACAAACAAACAAACAAACAAAAAAAAAAACAGGGTCGCATCAAAACCACAATATACCAACCAATGCAAACTAGAAATCTTTTTTAAAATCTCAAATATGGGGGAGGGAGGGGAAATGGAAGGGGGAGAACAGTGGTATAATGAAACACTGTCAGGGAGACCAGCATGAGATGGTTCTGGCTCACGTCCAGAGGCCTCCCTGAGCATGCTGGGCATGCGTGTGCCCATGACCTGGGGCTGACTGGAACTGAAGGTGGACCCCAGTATCAAAACTTATCGGGGGCACTGGGTCTGCCTCTCTGGCTCAGGGAAGAAGTACATGAATAAACATAATTTTAAAAAAATACGTATTCATTTAACATTTTCATTGCCAGGGCCAGCAGATGGCATAGTGGTTACATCACTGGACTCCCATGTAGGTGACCCTGGTTCGAGTCCCGGACACAGAGGCTTAAAACTCATACTGGGCACAGGTGTGTGCATGCCCGAGATCCTGAAAGAATGGGGAAGGGATTGCGGCACGGCCATCCCCCCAAGGGTGATTTCTCTGTCTCTGTGTCTCTCAAAAAAATCTCTCAAGTGAAGTAACAGCCTAACCTATGTTAAAAATGCCAGGTAACTTTTGGTGTGGTTGAGGCACTATACACTCCCAACACAGCTGACCACAGTCGAGTCCTGGAGGCTTGCTTTCTCACTTTCCCTCTCTTTCCTTTTGTCTCTCTATGTTCAAATCAAAATAAATGAATGAATAAATAAAATTAATTCTTTTAGAAAATTTTAGGTAACTTCAAAACATCAGTATCAAGTGAGCAGGTCATATAGCGCAGTGGTGCAACTGGCAGCAGACCAGTGGCCACAGAGGGCCCTCCCAGGTACTGGAGCAGGTACCAACCTGTAGCATCAGCATTCTGCTTGTTGTCACTGTTGGCGCACGAGGACACAAGGGAGGGTGCTCGCGCACGCACGGCCTCCCTACAGAGCCCAGCAATGCTGCCATCCCTCCTCCCTCCATCCTTTCAGGGCCCTGACTGCACATGCCTGGCGTGTTTTTCTACCAGAGCTGGGATTCGCACATGGCAGCCGTGTGGGACCCGGCTCTCTGCACAGCACTTCGCTGCTGCACCATGGCACCGACTTCAGCCGTCTTTCCAGAGGAGCGTTTCCCATTTGAGTGTGCTGTTTGTTTAATTTATTTATTTACTTAATTCCACTTGTTATTATTATTTTTTTTTATTTTACCAGACAGAGACAAAGAGAGACAGAGAAAGTGAGAAAGCAAGCCACCAGGTCCAGGACTCAAACTGTGGTCAGCCATGTGGGAATCTAGCACCTTTAACCACCACGCCACCTGCTGGCCCCTTGAGCGTGCCGTTTTTAAGGTCAGTGAGGTCCTAGACTCTGCCGCCCTGAAGCTGGCCAAGCTGGGGAATGCCTATTGTGCCAGCTACTTGAGAGGCGAGGCCGGAGAATCCCAAGTTTACAAGTGGGCGACACAGCGAGACTGTGTAAAAGGCACCACACACAAAAATCAACTGTGACGGGACCAGAGATGGTGTAACGGCTACCCTGCTGGACCCCATGTGGTGGACTCTGGCTCAAGTCCTGGACTCAGTGTCTTAAAACTCATGTTGGGTGTGTGTGTACATGCATGCCCAAGATCCTGAGAGAACGGAGAAGGAATTGTGGTGTTGCCATCCCCCTTAGGGGTGACTTCTTACTCTCTCCCCTATCTGGTGAGCACATAAGCCCCACAGCAATAATCTCTCTTAAAAAAAAAAGTCCAATAACAATTTTCTTCTCTGTGCTCTCATTTTCTTTTTTCTCCTTAATTTTAAAAGATTTAATTGTTTTTCTTCCTGCTTGACCAGAGAGACAGAGCAAGAGAAAGTGAGAAAGCAAGTTGCCAAGTCCAGACTCAAACTGGTCAGCCCTGCGGGAGTCCAGTGCCCCCGCAACCGCACCACCTGCCGTGCCACACTTTCTCCCTCCCTCATTAGCACAGCCCTTCTCTGCTGCTGCGAAGAAAAGGAGTGTCTTAGACCAGCACACGGCATCGAGGTTAAAGTGGCTGGAGCCCACATTGCTGGCTGTGTAACTCAAGTCCCAGATCTGGTGGCCTGAAAAACACACTGGGTACGTGTGTGCCCAAAATCCCGAGAGGAGACTGTGGCACGGCTTTCCCCCCGGGGGTGCTTTCTCACACCCCTGGTGAGTACGTGTGCCCTATAGCAAACATTTTTACAAAAGAAAAAAGAAGGTACCAGGGTAACATGGTGGCTGGGGCCCTAGACTCCCACAGGGCTGACCACAGTTCAAGTCCTGGACCTGGTGGCTTGCTTTCTCATTTCCTCTCTCTCTGACTCTCTCTGGTGAGTGCATGTACTCTGTGGCAGATTAAAAGAAATAATAAAATTAATTTTTTTTTAGTTAAAAAATGTTCTTTGCTGAGACCAGCAGATGACACAATGATTACATCACTGGACTCCCAGATAGTCAGCTGCGGCTTGCGTCAAAACTCATGACGGGCACATGTGCATGGAGCCCTAGATCCTGAGAGAATGGAGACAGGACTGCGGTGTGGCCATCCCCCCGGTGGGTGACTTCTCGCTTTTTGTCTCTCTGGCAAGAACACGGAACCCATAACAAAAATACCTCCCCCCAACAATAACAAAAAGCTCTTTGCTAAGGAGAACACTGCATGCAACTCCTATTAGAAAACAGTTAAAATCCAGATTACATGGAACCAGCATTTGGGGTAACGGCTATGTCGCTGGACTCCCATGTAGTCGACCGCGGTCCCAGTCCCAGACCCGGTGGCTTAAACTCACACTGGGCAAGTGTGTGTGCGTGCCCAAGACCCCGAGAGAATGGAGGAGAAGGGATTGTGGCACGGCAGTGATTTCTCGCTTTCTGTCTCTCTTTCGGGCAAGCGCACAAGCCCTATAATAAAAATCTTTCCAAAAAAAAAAAAAAATCCAGACTACACAATTCATTGTCCTATTTCTTTTTATAACGATTTTATTTATTAGATTTGACCAGAGAGGGGCAGAGCAAAAGAGAGACAGACAGACAGATGTAAAGTGAGAAGGCAAATCTGCCAGGTCCAGGACAAACCTTGGCTGGCCACCTGACCTGGAGTCGAGGCCCCTCATTGTCCTATTTAACTACCACCACCCCAGGCTCAGTGACAACCAGAAATGTCACACAAGGCTCACAAAGTGTGGACTGAGACCAAGACCCCGAGGCTGCTTAGACCAAGGTTGCTGGGTCAGTCTTAGCAGCGGTGGACGGGCTCGGGTTTGACAGGCGGTGTGCACTGGCTGCTTCAGCCCTCATTCTCAGAGTAAGCACAAAGTCCCACTGAAAACGCAGGACCAGGGCCAGCAGATGGCAAGGTGTGTAAGGCGCTGGACTCCCAAGTGGCTAACTGTGGTTCGAGTCCCAGACCTGATACTCACTCTCACTTTCTTTCTTTCTCTCTTTCTGGTCAAATTTAAAAGTAGTGATAATGATAAATAAAGTAATTCTTTAAAAAAGGAAATATATTCTTTTCTTCCTCAACACAATTAAAAAGCCCCCCTAAAGTTTAATAACCCTATAGTTGCTCTTAGTTTAGAAAGGATGGACATTGCTGTAGAATGTAGGTCAGTAATTTGTATTCCTTTCAGGAGTTTTGGCAAAAAATTACAAACTAAAGGGCGGGACTCCCACATGGCTGCCTAGGGTTCAGACCTGGTGGCTTGCTTTCTCTCGCGAGCTCACGTGTCCTATAGGAAATTCAAAAAAATATTTAATTTTTAAAAATCTTAAAAAATAAACAAAATCAGACTTGGTCGCCCAAGAGAGAGCTGGAGAAAAAGCAGCCAAAAGCGCTCTGGTCGAGGCGGCTGCGATTCCAGGATGAGACACCGCCTCTAGGGGAGCCCGGGGACCCGAGTCCGT